TGCTTTATACCAAAGCACATTGCTAACCATCCCCGGCCCTAGCAATGCCGAATCCTTGGGTTACATCTTGACAATAGTGTATACTGTATGTCCTCAGTATCTAATTATAAAATTATTTAGTGAACCTGAAGCAACATGCATGTCATTGCTAGAAGTTTTTGCAGATTAATATTATAAATGTGTGTGAATATGTGTGTGTATGTGCATATATCTATACATGAGAGTGCGCATGCATCTCTAGCAGTTCCTTGTCCTACTTCATGCATCACTCAAAAAAAAAAAAAAAAAAAAAAAAAAACAGAAATCCTTTGTAGATCAGAAGGACACCTTAAGGACACCTTAAGTATGATGCAAAAATGTAGTTCTGCAAATGCAAATCTATAGATTTAATAACTTTTATTTAAATTTAGGAATTCACTGCTTTGATGCTTAAGATGAGGCAATTGTGTGAAAATGTAGGTTTGTGCACATCAGTACCTTTTTTTTTGATGAAACGTGATCCAACTCATATTTGCACAGCCACTGAAATTAAAAGAAATAATAATAATAAAGGTGCCCTTGGACTTGGGAACCAGATTTTTTTTGTCATTATTCTTTCAGAATACACTTATATACCGTGGTCATATTAACTGAAAAGTGTATTACCCCTTTCTGCAATTTTTAACGGTAAATAGGAGACATCAGTTACTGTCAAAAGTTGGATTTTTCTCTTCTCCTGTGTACTGTCATTAGTTCAGAAACACAGATTATAATCTCTGTTTGGAGTCGGCTGTACTTTTATGACTCTAGTGCCTTAAATGATGTACAGAACTAGCATTTTTAGTAGGCAAAGGCCAAAACTAGAAAAGCAGAAAATTGTTCTAAGTGAAATATTCAATTAGTTATTAAACACTGTAAATATACTGCAGATATTTGGGGTTTCAGTGTAAGGGACAGGTGGGTCTTGGTAGGTTTGGCATTTTATAGCACAAGACGATTTGGGTAAAAGTGGAGTGTTTGGGGAGGGAGGTGAAAACTTTGCAATGCCATTTCTGTAGCGCAAGGGAGCCACGGCGGCTCTGCAGGCAGACAGCTTAGGGGTTCTTACTGCTTCCAACAAGAAGCCAGAGGGAAATATTAATCCCCTTCCTGCCTTTCTCTGAAGGGAACTCTTTGGTCTGCGTCCCCTTTCACTTTTGTTTTTTATCATGTAAAAGTGCAGCCAGGAGGAAGTTAGTAGGGGGGCACAGGCTCTTCAGTTGCTGCCCCATTTCTTAAGCAAGGGTGTGACCCTCCACCAACCCCACAGCAATTGGAACCTGTGTGACCAGGAGTGCTCCCTCTCAGTGCCTTTCCCCATCTGCCTGACCAAGAAACGAAATGAACCAGCCTGAGGTGCTGCAAAATGCCAGGGACAGGAACAAGTGTTTGGGTGTGTGTGGAATGGGCGAGATGCGTCCCTCCCATGGTTGTGAGGGGCTTGGGGCAGCGGGCGCGTGGGAGGTGCTGCTGCGCTTGCAAGCGAGCCACCCTGCACGGGGCTCTGCTGGGAGGCACGGCTTTCTTCAAGGAAGATTTTATTCTTTTTATTTTTTATTTTTCTGAACGAAGTTAGCCACTTCCTGCATTTGGCTGTGCCTAGTGCTTTTCTTGACTTCAGTCCTGCGCTCAGCAGCCAGTGGCAGAGTCTATTTTAAGACCTCTTACAATGGTCTTCTCATTTACTTGGCTAAAATGAGAAAGTTCGCCCTGCATTGGCCACTTGGATGCTGATTGACAACTTTTCCTTTGAATCTGGCCCCCCTCCCCCACTTGATATCCCTGGCTCAGCAAATATTTGAACCTGCCCAAGTTAATCACAAAACTGAGATCATTATCTGAGAGAGATGTGCGAGCTACTGAGGGGTGTTTTTTTTTTTTTTTTTTTTTTTTTTTTTTTTTTTTTTTTTTTTTAAACAGTACTAAATTCAGGTTCACTTTTTAATGATGAAGCAGAGTAAGTGGATACCTTCTGCACAGCAGAGCTCTCTGCAGTTGAGAACAGAGGGAAGGCTTGGATTTTCTGACTGCACCTTACAGCTTTTTTAGTGATTTCTATGAAGCATCGATTGGAAAGCATAAACTTTTTTTTACTTTTTAAATTATTTTTTGTTTAATTGCTTTATAGAAACTTCTTAAAAAAAAAAAAAAAAAAAGAGATTTTTTTTTTGCATCTTTTAGAAAGTTTTCTGTAAGAGCAAACCACTTAATTTTTCAGGTTATTGGATTGTATTTTCAGGCTGTGTTACAAGGGCGAGCAGTTGTGATGCATAATTTACAAAGTAATGATTTTATAATTCTGTGTTTTTTTTTTTTTTTTTTTTTATCACCTGTTGAAATACTTTGCTGTAGCTGATTGTCAGGTAGAGATTTCATGGTCTTAAGATATGTGAATGAAAGGCAAGTGCTCAACATCTCTCCAGGTTGTGCAGAGGCAATGTAAAATCACCTATCTGTCTCCTGCCTTTTCCTGCCCAACAGCTGAGTTAGTTTGGGCTGAGCAGCAACATGATTATACAAGTGTGGGCAGTCCAGAATTTGGCCACCGGTGAAACCCTGGAGACTTATTATTTCCTGAAAGCCTTTATTCAAAGCAATAAAAAGTCTTACTGATCCCCTGTAAAACTTAAATGCAGCAATATAGTCTTTGTCAGAAATCTTTTATAACCTAATTTAAATAATTACCTTGGCAACTCAAGTGTTTGGGTAGCAGGTGGGCTAAACCTTCAAGTTTAGTGTTTGGACTTGTGTCTGGGATGATCTTAAGTATCTTATTATGCTTTGGAAATGGAAGGAATCTTTGGAACACGTCTACCTAAACAGGGAGGGGAAAATGAATTTAAGCTTAACATATAAGCAAAGGGGCATGTATTTTTTTGTTGTTGCTGTTGGTACTCCAGCCATGTTCTTGCATGTTAATGCTTGTCGAAAGAGGGTAAGCTAGTGAAGGATACAGAGGGAGGGTAGATATGTGTGAAATATTTGGGAAGGGTATAAATTGCATTAATTTTTAATGAGCATGAGATAGAGCATATTTAAGCCGCATGAGGATTTTTTATGATGTAGGCACTGATAGTTGCTACAGTGACTTTTTGTTGTGGTTATTTTTGGTATCTGTTTTTTTGCCCCCATAGATTATAGTGAATATAAAGCACTCAGATCGCTCTGGATGAGTAGTATATTCTGCACATGTTTCTTCCAAGAGCTCTTAGTCAGCGATGGGGAGAGTTAAGAAAGAATTTTCCTTAGTAGTAGGAGGATACTGATGACTGTGAAAATGTTGCAGTTTGAAAGCCGTAGTGGTACTGGTGGTGGAGGGGGAAGGAGATATCAAATCAGTATCGGATTCACAAACAGTCTGTGGACCATAGGTCCGATTGCCTAGCTAGGAGCGAATCGAGTTCCCAAATAGCGTAATCACCTGTAAGCTCGACTCTGGCAGTATCGGATTCAGGAACAGTCCATCAACTGTAGGTCCGATCGCCTCCCCCCAAACAAGTAGTCGAGTTCACAAACAGTATGATTTATTCAAATGCAACATTTACAAAGCAGGTTTCGGATGTCAGTACAGGAAATTCTCTACTAGAG